TATATATATATATGTGTATATATATGTATATATGTGTGTATATATGTGTATATATATATATATATATATATATATATATATATATAAATATATTATACACATTTATATATATATATATATATATATATATATATATATATATATATATATATATATATATATATATATATATATATATATATATATATATATATATATATATATATATATATATATATTTGATTTATGTAGCTATATAACAATTTTTGTAATGTTTTTATTCCACCTGATGATGCTGACCGCTATAAGTCAGCGAAATATTGTAATTATATAATAATACCAAAATGTGTTTAAAACAAAAAGTTTATATATATATATATATAATCTTTGAAAGTTATTTTCTTAAAATATGGGTTTCTTATTTATTAAAATATGGGTAGAATTCAATAAATGCTTAATGTTAGAGAATTTGTTAAAATTTTTGTCAAAACTGTTTTTTAATTTTTAAATTAAAAAACAGTTTTGTCGTAGATTTTCTGCCTGTGTTGGTTTTTTAAGTTTTTTAAGTTGTAAAGCGCAAGTTTTGATATTAGTTATAATATCCATATAAGGAATTTTTTTCTGCAGTGGTACAAAATTTGGACCTAAATTGAGTAACTTAGTTGTTGATTTATTCATAGTAGCATTAGTTAAATTGAGTATAGCAGGTTTAATAACTTGATTGGGAGGACCAAAAGTATTTTTTATAATCAGTGTAATTTGTAATTTATAATATTTTTCTTTCATTTCCATTTTTTTCTAAATATAATGGTAATTTTTTGATTTATTGGTTAATATATTAACCAATAATATTAATTAACTCACAATCGTGTAGTCTGGTTTCGCATTATTAAACCTAAAGGATGCATTTCTCAAATTAGAAGAACAAATAAAAAATAGCAAAATTATTGATTATGATCCAACATCCACATTGACTACTAAATTTCAAAGACAATTGTGCAAATTAAGAAAAGAAGGTAAGCTAGACACAAATACATACTTTAAAATGTATCCATCAGATTTTAACCCACCAAGAATTTACGGAATGATTAAAGCTCACAAACCAGAAAAAGATTAACCAATGCGCCCTGTTGTATCAATAATTAACACACCACCTTATGAAACATCTGATTATTTTGTTAAAATTATTCAACCGACTCTAAACAAAAATAAAAACAGACTTATGAATTCTACTAGTTTTGTAAATGAAGCTAAGCAATGGATAATAGATCCTAAAATAGAAGCTAAGCAATGGATAATAGAAGTTCAAGTTTCATTTGATATAGTCAATTTATATCCATCCATACCCATTGAGGAAGCAATTCCGGTTATTATTGATATATTGAACGCTGACATTGATGACTTAAAAACTTACTCTTGCAGACATACACCAATTAATTGAACTTTCATTAAGTATATGCTATTTTTTATATGAAAACAATATTCGAATAATACCTAATTCAGGTCCTATAGGTTTATCTTTAATAGTTGTTATGGCAAAAGCGTTTTTACAAAATATATAAAGAAAGGCCCTTAACATACCAATTGTTCATACATCCAAACCAAAAACTTACAAGAGATATGCAGATGATTGTCACGCTCGCTTCGCTTCAATAAAACAACAACAAATGTTCCTGAACATCCTTAATGAACAACATCCTGCCATAAAATACACAGTGGAACTTGAAAACGACCTCAAAAAACCTAATTTCCTAGATACTAATATTACAAACACAGGCTATGGAGCTTATGAATTTCAAATACATCGAAAAGAAGCTATTAAAATGTTCAACTTAAACCTAACTCAAACATTAATCCTAACATTATTATTGGCGTTTTCAAAGGATTTTTATGTTGTGCAAAAAGAATATGCTCTAAAAAACAAAAAGAAATTTTCAAAAAGAAATTGATTTTCTAACAGATATATTTGTCGAAAATGGCCAAGACAAGAACATTCTAAATAATATTACTATAGACTATTTAAAAAACCGTTCTTAAAACACCACATTTCAACTATTAGATGCCCATCCTTTTATAAAACTACCTTGGATACCAATTGTTGGTCGAAAATTTCGTAAAGAATTTCAAAAGCAAAACATAAAGGTTATTTTCACATCAACTCCCAATTTAAAAAATATTTTTTGCAATAATAAAACAAAACTACCACTAAACACAGACAATGGTGTATACCAGCTAAAGTGTTCATGCGGTTTGATATACATTGGTGAAACTAAAAAGAAGGTGATATCAAGATGTATTGAACACCAGAAAAACAGCTTAAAAGAAAAATTGTCCAGTTCGGGTGCAACTGAACATTCCAAAACATGCCGTGGTAAGTTTGATTGTTTGCACTCCAAAACATTATCTCTAGCCCCAGAATATCAAACTCAGAAAATTAGAGAGTCACTTGAAATAAGCAAAGCTAGGGTTCGACAAGAGTTGAAAAATGGTGATATGGTTCTCAATTGGGATGACAGTGATA